CACAGTTGTTGTTTGGTCTCTCCTATGTATTTTCCATCAGGGCATTTGGTGCATTGGATGAGATATTCTGGAGGTGCAGCTGTAAGATGCAGGAATGCTGATGGCTCTGTTGTGGGGTGTAGTGAATGTGGGTGTGGTGGAGATGTGTTGGCAGGTTTTGCATTTCTTGTCATGGCATAGTCTGGATCCTTTTGGTGTGTTCTGGGCTTGAGGAAGTTTGCTTCTAGTGATGAGGTTAGCGAGATTTGGTGCTTGTTTGAAGGCTAGGATGGGTGGCTCTGGGAAGATCTCTTTACGAATAGGGTCTCTTTCTAGTAGGTGATTTCACCATATACTACAACAACTTAAAAGACAGAAATCCAATGATCTTCCCTAACAATATACAATGGATACAAAGAGACGACGAAAAACTTTCTACAACATTCATCCAACATAAAAAGAAGAAATGGAACAAATTGCTCCAAGAACAAGTTCCCCAGCCACAAAACAACCATCAGAGGAACAACACCAACACCCTAGAATATTCCAACCTCAGACTTGATAAAACTGAAAGCAGCAACCAACCCACAAATACTGTCAATCTCTCCACACACACACTTACCAAAACTGAAAAATCTGTCCTTTCAAAAGCCTAAATTTCTGTCCATAAAAATACCCTAATAAAATACTTCAATGTGGAGAACTAGAAGAATTCTTCCAACGCCTCTGCCTCAAAGAATATTTCCACGACCAAACTGAACCCACTCCCAACAACTTATCCTCTGACAACATTCAGGAAAAGATCAATGCCAAAAAACCCCAAAAAATCAGATTGGACACTTCACAGTGGACAAAACCCTAACCATGACCGCTACATTGACTGCTTCAGGGAAAGAATGAACAGTGAAATAATCAGCAACACACGTCACCATAACAACCTCTCTCTACCAGAGAAAAAGGCCATAGAATCTCTAAGATCTAACCACCAAATAGTAATAAAACCAGCAGATAAAGGAGGAGCCACAGTCATCCTAAACCGTGAAGATTACATAAAGGAAGCCAACAGATAACTCTCTGACACCACCTACTACAAAGAACTACAAGAAGATCCTACTCCCCTTTTCACCAAGAAACTCAACAGTACCATCA